GCAACTTGTCACCGCACCGCAGCCAGCGCAAATATTACTCATCTATTGTGGTTGCATGTTGCAGGCTCTGGATTCTGGTCTTGCATCACTGTTAGATACTGGTCACTCACTCCTGCAAGTTATTACCAGAATTAGAGTAAAAATAGCATAGATAAAGTGAAGATAGTGTTGACGAAAGTGTGAGGACAGCAGAATAACGATGGGTAGCGTAGTATTACTACCGGTAGTTTTGAGACTCTCTGACCGCGGGTTCAATCCCGCCCGTGGTATGGTTTGTTTAGCAGTATGAATACTTAGGAAGCTAGGAAGTCCTCTCTCAATGTGAACAAGGAATAGCATGATAACCAGCAGTAATTGATACTTAAATCCAGAAAGGGCAATAAGTGGAGAGAGTAGCATTACTAGGAAAGACAGCTGGGACTAAATTTGAGCCTACACGACAGAGAGGTATAACGGATCTTTCAACCACAACAACCCTACCCCCCTAACCATCTCTCCCTCACACACACATTCACACACACACACAAGGGTAGACACTCATAGAAGCTTTAGACCCTAGTAGAAATTTCCGCTTTTTATAACTCAGAATTACTGGTATGTATTAGCAGTATCTCCCCCTCACACCTCCCCCATACACACGATGACACACATTTACACACATACACACACACACACACCTGCACTAGGCGAATACACACACACACACACACACACACACGCACGCACGCACACACACACACACACACACACACACACACACACACACACACACACACACACACACACACACACACACACACACACACACACACACACACACACACACACGTGAAGCAGTATCGCTAAATAGTGCTCCCAGGATTTAGCGTTCTAGTGGCTGTCCTAAGATATTATTAGCGGTCATCGTACGTGAGTGAATCAGTGAACATACCTACAAGAGTGTAACAGCTTTCAAGAGTGCGAATAATGTGATAAGATCAAGAATTTTACAATTTAAATTTGAATGAATGTTGAGTGAGGGAGGGTAGCAGTCAGCTGATCAGGCTGCTGGCTGCAGTGTTGACACAAAATATACAAACAGTTAATTGGTTTAACGGTGTTATCTGAAATATTAACAAATACATATGTTGGTTGGTTATAGCAGCAGTGTAGTGATAAGGTCATAAACGAGTGATTAAGTAAACACTGAAAGTAAGAAAAAATTAGTCAATCCCCAGCTATTGGTGTTGTGAATGTAGTTAATATCATCAGATTTGTTATGACCAATATTGTACTAAAGAAAAAAGAGTGAATACCAAGTATTAAAAGAAAAATAAAATAAAAACTTAAATGCATGATAAAGTTCCTGAAGGAGCTACAAAAGTGAAGGAGTTGACAGCAGCCACCAGCAGGAACCTCCATTGTTGTGCAGACATCACTTGCCTATGTGTGGTTAATTTTGGTTAGTGCCTAAAGTCTCAGTGTCTCGCTCTGCTTTTTGTATGCTATACCATCACTCTCTCCCTAACTTTCAGTACCAGGAGATAGATAGTGGTAACCCTGATAATGTTTAGTAAATTATCTAAATATCTTCAGAAGAGTTGTGTAGCCCAGTGCCCCCCCCCTGACAACGACAAACTAGTAAACAAGTACGCACATACAAACACACGTGTTCACCAGTAATTATTATTATAATAATCATTAGTATATATTAATAAAGAATTGAATGAGAAAAAATAGTCCTATAATCTTCAAAAAAGTAAGGTAGCCTAGTGTGCGAAGATCTGGGCCGGGAGAGAACCGGTGAACCAATAACAATAACAAATAGCGTTAACGTGACCCTTCCTCCTCTTTTTCAAAGAACGACAAGCTAGTAAACACACACACACAAACACAAGTGTACACAGTAAATATTATATGTATATTAGTGTATATTATAAATAAGGAATTGATTGTGAAAAAATTTTGTAATCTTCAAAAGAGTAGCGTAGCCTAGTGTGCGCACGCACACACACACACACCCACACCCACACACCCACACACCCACACACCCACACACCCACACACCCACACACACACACACACACACACACACACACACACATACACACACATACACACATACAGACCCACACAAACACACACATACACATACACACACATACACATACACACACACACAAACACACACACACACACACACACACACACACACACACACACACACACACACACACACACACACACACACACACACACACACACACACACACACACAAACCTAACCTAACCAAACACATTAGCTCAGAAATCCCCCACCACACGCACACATTTTTACGATAAACTGAAGCAGCTAGAACATCCCAACAGGATAAAAACAAAATGGACTCTCAAAAGGGAGGACGTAAAGGCAAGGGAACCGATCATGGCTGGTCGGAAAAGGAAGAATGGGTAGAACGGCTCAAGAACAAAATGGAACAACAATGGGAGAAAAGGTTAAACGTGCTTTGCAATAACATGTTAGAGCAAATATCTGCAGAGAGCAAGAAGTGGGAATCACGAGCTGTAGTAGCTGAGGCAAAGATACAGAGATTGGAGAAAGAAATGGATGTGCTGAAGCAGGATCTAAAGATGAGGTCCGAAAGGAGCAAGATGACTGGAATGGGAACATCAGCAGGCAGCGAGGGGACTGAAGGAGGGGATGGATCTAAGCAGTCTTTTGCAGCAGTAATATCAGGCCATCATGGTGTCTGGGAGATGATTAGGGAAACAGCTAGTCCATCATCAAGCAGGACTAGCCCTTCATCTACCAGGACTAGTCCTTCATCTACAAGGACGAGTCCATCATCACCAGGACTTGTCTTTCATCTACCACGACTAGTCCATCATCTATCACGACTAGCCCTTCATCTAGCTGGACTAGTCTTCCATCAACCAGGACTTATCCTTTATCTGATAGGACTAGTCCATCATCTACCAGGACTGCTCCATCATCTACCAGGACTAGTCCTTCATCTATAAGGACTAGTCCTGGATCTACCAGACTAGTTAATCATCTACGATGACTACTCTCTCATCTACGTGGACTAGTCTATCATCTACCACGACTAGTCCATCATCTACCAGGACTAGTCCATCATCTGCCAGGACTAGCCCATCTCCTACCAGGACTAGCTCTTGATTTACCAGGAGTAGTCAATCATCTATGAGGGCTACTTATTCATCTACCAGGACTATTTTTTCATCAACGAGTAGTCCACTATCTACTAGGACTAGTCTTTCATCAACGAGGATTAGTCCATCATCTACGAGGACTAGTTCATCATCTACCAGGACTAGTCCATCATCTACCAGGAGTAATCCTTCATCTACCAGGACAAGTCCATCATCTACCAGGACTAGTCAATCATCCACCATGTCTGGTCTATCATCTACCAAGACTAGTCCTTCGTCTACCAGGAGTAGTCCTACATGTACGACGACTAGTCCATTATCTACAAGGGCTAGTCCATCATCTACGAGGACTAGTCCACCATCTACCAGGAGTAGTCCTTCATCTTCCAGGACTAGTCCATCATCTACCAGGACTAGTCTATCATCTACCAAGACTAGTCCTTCATCTACCGGGACTAGTCTTCATCTACCAGGACTAGTTCCACCATCTACCAGAAGTAGTCCATCATCTACAGGACTAGTCCTTCATCTACCAGGACTAGCCATCATCTACCAAGATTAATCCTTCATCTACCTGGACTGTCCTTCATATTCCAGGACTAGTCCTTCATATACCCGGACTATCTTCATCTTTCCACTACTAGCCCATCATCTACCAGGTTAGTCCTTGATCTACCAGGAGTAGTCAAGCATCTACGATGACTACTCTCTCATCTACGTGGACTAGTCTATCATCTACCACGACTAGTCCATCATCTGAGAGGAATAGCCCATCACCACCAGGACTAGTTCTTGGTCTACAGGACTATTCAATCATCTACGAGGGCTAGCATTCATCTACCGGACTAGTCCATTATCTACCAATGCTAGTCTTTCATCAACGAGGACTAGTCCATCATCTACGAGGACTAGTGTTTCCACTACCAGGACTAGTCCAAACATCTACCAGGAGTAGTCCTTCATCTACCAGGAATAATCCATTATCTACCAGAATTAGTCCTTCATCTACCAGTACTAGTCCATCATCTACCAGGACTAGTCCATCATCTACCAAGACTAGTCTTTCATCTACAAAGACTATCTTTCATCAACGAGGAGTAGTCCTTCATTTTTCCAGGAATAGTCCTTCATCTACCAGGACTAGTCCATCATCTACCAGGACTGGTCCATCATCTACCACGACTAGTCCATCATCTACCAGGACTTGTCCATCATCTACCAGGACTAGTCCATCATCTACAAGGAGTAGTCCTTCATCTTCCAGGACTAGTCCATCATCTACCAGGACTAGTCCATCATCTACCACGACTAGTCCTTCGTCTACAAGGAGTAGTCCTTCATCTACGACGACTAGTCCATCATCGACCAGGCCTAGTCCATCATCTACCAGGACTAGTCCATCATCTACCAGGGCTAGTCTATCATCTACGACGACTAGTCCATCATCTTCCAGGACTAGTCCTTCAACTACCAGGACTAGTGCTTCACCTACCAGGACGAGTCCTTCACCTACAAAGACTAGTCCATCATCTAACAAGACTAGCCCTTCATCTACCAGGACTAGTTCACCATCTACCAAGACTAGTCCATCGTCTACCAGGACTAGTCCATCATCTACCAAGATTAGTTCTGCGTCTACCAGGACTAGTCCATCGTCTATCATGACTAGTCCATCATCTACCAAGACTAGTTCTTCATCTACCAGGACTAGTCCTTCATCTTCCTGGACTAGTGCTTCATCTACCAGGACTAGTCCTTCATCTACCAGGACTAGTCCTTCACCTACCGAGACTAGTCCATCTTCTACCAAGACTAGCCCTTCATCTACCAATACTAGTCCTTCATCTACCAGGACTAGTTCACCATCTACCAGGACTAGTCCATCATCTACCAAGATTAGTCCTTCATCTAGCAGGACTAGCCCTTAACCTACCAAGACTAGTCCATCATCTACCAAGACTAGCCCTTCATCTACCAGGACTAGTCCTTCATCTACCAGTACTAGTTCACCATCTACCAGAACTACTCCATCATCTACAGGACTAGTCCTTCCTCTACCAGGACTAGTCCATCATCTACCAAGATTAATCCTTCATCTACCTGGACTAGTCCTTCATATTCCAGGACTAGTCCTTCATATACCAGGAGTAGTTCTTCATCTACCACTACTAGTCCTTCATCTACCAGGACTAGTCCTTTATGTATCAGGACAAGTGCTTCATCTTCTAGGACTAGTCCTTCATGTACGAGGACTAGTTCATCATCTACCAAGACTAGTCCTTCATATATCAGGACTAGTCATTCATCTACCAGGACTAGTCCATCGTCTACCAGGACTAGTCATTCATCTACCAGGACTAGTCCATTATCTTCCAGGATTAGTCCTTCATCTACCAGGACTTGTCCTTCATCCACCAGGACTAGTCTATCATCTGGCAGAATTTGTCCATCATCATCTACTAGGACTATGCTTTCATATATCAGGACTAGTCCAACATCGTCCAGAACTAGTCCATCATCTTCCAGGACTAGTCCATCGTCTACCAGGACTAGTCGTTCATCTACTACAACTAGTCTATCATTTACTAGGACTAGTCCATCATCCTCTCCCAGGACTAGTTCATCATCATCATCTACCAGGATTAGTTCATCATCATCTACCAGGACTAGACGTTCATCTACTAGAACTAGTCAATCATTTACTAGGACTAGTCCATCGTCCTCTCCCGTGACTAGTTCATCATCATGTACCAGGACTAGTCCATCATTATCTCTTAGGTCTGGTCTTTTATTGCTTTCCTGAACTAGATGCCCATCATCTATTATGAGTAGTCCAACTTCATCTACCAGGACTGTTCCTCCTTCATCTATCAGATGTGGTCCACCATCATGTACCAAGTGTAGTCCTGCATCATAATCCACAACTTGAGGATTATTATCTCGCTGGTCTGTTCCTGCCTCATCTATCAGGGCTAGAGAATCATCATCTCCCTAGTCAGGTCCTCCATCATCATCATCGAAGATAGGTCCTTTCATTTTGTTCTAAGAAGCTACCTCACTGGTTTGCCGAGGCAACCAGCTAGCTTTCAACAGTCTCACTCCTCTGTTGTTTACACTCTTGACATGATCACTCTCAACAGGAAAAACAGCAAAAATCAAGAGACCATCTATTTATTCTCGCATAAACAATGATGTTTACTTATAGACGGGGAATAGGAACTGGCTTTAGTGACGCAAATTCAAGGTAGTGGCGGCCCTGGTGGTTTTGTGGTGGTGATTGTATGTAATGATGTTATTGTACTTCAGGGGTAGTGACGGTGGTGTTTGTGGTGATGCTAGTTTACAAAGTAAGAGACTACAATCATCTAGACGCTAGCTGGGTGGCACCACAAGAAGCACTTGTCCTGCCCATAGCCGTCCTAGCTATCCTGCTCCTCTCTGCTATCTTCGTGGGTGAGTGGCATTATGAACCTACCCTCAGTCGTCCTAGCTATCCTGCTCCTCTCTGCTATCTTCGTGGGTGAGTGGCATTATGAACCTACCCTCAGTCGTCCTAGCTATCCTGCTCCTCTCTGCTATCTTTGTGGGTGAGTGGCATTGTAAACCTACCCTCAGTCGTCCTAGCTATCCTGCTCCTCTCTGCTATCTTCGTGGGTGAGTGGCATTATGAACCTTCCCTTAGTCGTCCTAGCTATCCTGCTCCTGTCTGCTATCCTTGTATGTGTGTGGCATTATGGACCTACCCTCAGTCGTCCTAGCCTTCCTAATTCTGTCTGCTATATATTCCAGATTTATTATTGTTTATGGTGAAAAGTAAACTTGTTTAGCCACTTACTTAAGAAAACCCAATACAGTGTAATCCCTATATTTATATACTGACCATCACTCACTATATTTATATACTGACCATCACTCGCTATATTTATATGCTGACCATCACTCACTATATTTATATACTGACCATCACTCACAATATTTATATGCTGACCATCACTCACTATATTTGTATACTGACCATCACTCACTATGTTTATATACTGACCATCACTATGTTTATATACTGACCATCACTTACTTATGTTTATATACTGACTATTCCTCAGGGGCTGTAACCCATACTGGGTTACAGCCAATAAAGAAAAAACCCGTACTGGGTTACAGTCCCTGGGAAATGGTCAGTAATTAAGTTTGATTTTAGGAAGTGGAGGATAGTACTAATTTCCTGTATCAAGAGCCCTTCACCAGCATTAACACATTCTTCTATAAAGGCTTTTGTAAGTGGTAAACTCCTATGGGCTCTTGATCTAGAAGATCAGAACTACCCTAACATTACTGGGACTCGATATAACCCCCTTACATTTCCATGCTGAATGACTCCTATAAAAATTATTTGTTCTCTAATTTCAACTAGATAGCAACGTTTCTGTCTTATGCTTAAGAAAGTGAATACTGAGTCTACCACCAGTGCTCACCAACACTGGCTTAATGCAGCACACCAACGTAATAGCAACCTCCTCCTTCAGGATACCTGTGGCTGGCGGAGTCTCGAGAAGAAGCTTGTTCTGGGTCAGCACCATGCAGCAGTGACCTGACCACCTTCTCTGTGGTAGTCATCGTCCTCCTGAGTCTCCCTTTGCTGGTGTTCTTCTATGTGACCGCAGCTGTGGGCCTCCTCACCGCCTTCTTTGTCATCTTATCCTTCATCTACTACTGCAGCGGTGATGCTATGCACCAGGAGGTGAAGATTTTACATGAAAAATGAAGAAAAACTGACTTGAGCATCATCGCTACCACCACCCTTTTCTCTATATTATTCAACACTATGTGAAGTTTTTATCTGAGAAATAAAGAAAACACAGATGCGTTACAGAACTAAATGCCACCGGAACAACAGTTTGCCCTTAGAGTTTTAAGATGGTGTTGATTTAATAACTGTATGACATGATAAAAGCTCTTATGCATATTTAAACGCAGTCATTATAAAATATTGCTCAACAACTACGTACTTTCTTCAATACAAACAGCGGTACGACATTTGGACTAAAAGAGAAGAGAGTTTTTCCGATGCTATTATTGTTGATAGTACATGAATAAGACACGGGATGAATAAGACATGTGTGCAATTCTGAATTCAAAAGAAGATTAAATATATTATGTTAATTTGATGAATTCCATGGGATTAGCACCATGGCAAAGTCCCAGCCATAAAACCTGTGTCCACCCTATGTATAAACAAGGTGTTAGACTCCTCTCCCAATGTAACAGCATATTTATTTGGATTCAATCACCCAATATTTTCTTGTTTGATATATACACCTAAAATCGGTATGCCTAGAAGTTAGAGTAAATTCTTCCTGTTGATGGGCTAAAAGATTTGTTCATCAGTAGATGCTTGACAGTATTTTCTTTATTAGAGTCAATTCCTACACTAAGTTGTTTCAAAAGGTCGAGTGAGGTCAGACAAGTTTTTATTATAAGGTAGAATAAGTCCATTATCATGTTTACACTCAACTCTTGAGGATGTTCTGCTAAAAGATGTCTTAACTTTAATAAAGTCCTTCTTGACTCAGATGTGTCAATATTGAAGATCTTGCAATTTCAAAAATTCTATCAACCTCGGAATAAAGAAAAACTCTGAGCATTATTATTATTATAATTATTATTATTATTATTATCATTATTATTATTATTATTATTATTATTATTAATATTATTATTATTATTATTATTATTATTATTATTATCAAGGGGGAAGCGCTAAACCCGTAGGATTATACAGCGCCTGGGGGGGATGTGGAAGGTATTCGGGCTTAATTCGAGGAACTGGAGCACAGATTCAATTCCCTAAATCAAGAGCTCCTCACCAACATCAAGGAACCTTCCTTAAGGGAAAAAACTCTGAGCAGCATAACTTAGAGAACTTAAGAACATTGTGTTTACTTGTGAATTGTTTAAGTATTCGTTTATTCTTTGTGCATCAGAATTAACAACAGTGTTGTGTTCATGTATTCAGAGCCAGAGGTGTGAGGGGTTTGTAGTACAGTATAACGAGGTGAGGGAGGAGAGTCTCCTGTGTAGTGTAGAGTAATGTAGTGTAGTGTAGTGTAGTGTAGTGTAGTGTAGTGAAGAGCAGTGTAGTGAAGTGTAGTGTAGTGAGGAGCAGTGTAGTGAAGTGTAGTGTAGTGAAGAGCAGTGTAGTGAAGAGCATGTGAAAGTGAAAGCAGTGTAAGTGAACAGCTTTGTAGTGAACAGCAGTGTAATGAACAGCAGTGTATTGAAGTGTAGTGTAGCATAGTGTATTGAAGTGAAATGTAGTGCAGTAATAGTGTAGAATAGTGTAGTGTAATTTAGTGAAGTGTAGTGAAGTGTAGCGAAGTGCAGCATAGTGCAGCTTAGCATAGTGTAGTATAGTGTACTGTAGCATAGCGTAGTGAAGTATATTGTAGGGTAGCGTAGTAAAGTGTGGTGTAGCATAGTAAAGTGTGGTGTAGCATAGTAAAGTGTGGTGTAGCATAGTAAAGTGTAGTGTAGCTAGTAAAGTGTGGCGTAGCATAGTAAAGTGTAGTGTAGCATAGTAAAGTGTGGTGTAGCATAGTAAAGTGTGGTGAAGCATAGTAAAGTGTGGTGTAGCATAGTAAAGTGTGGTGTAGCATAGTAAAGTGTAGGGTAGCATAGTAAAGTGTGGTGTAGCATAGTAAAGTGTGGTGTAGCATAGTAAAGTGTGGTTGCAGCATAGAAAAGTGTGGTGTACCCATAGTAATGTGGTGTAGCATAGTAAAGTGTGGTGTAGCATAGTAAAGTGTAGTGTAGCATAGTAAATTGTAGTGTAGCATAGTAAAGTGTGGTATAGCATAGTAAAGTGTGGTGTAGCATAGTAAAGTGTAGTGTAGCATAGTAAAGTGTGGTGTAGCATAGTAAAGTGTTATGTAGCATAGTAAAGTGTAGTGTAGCATAGTAAGGTGTGGTGTAGCATAGTAAAGTGTGGTGTAGCCTCATATTGTGTAGTTTAGTGTGGTGTTGTAGGAAAGTGTACCACATAGCCATGGATCAACCTTCACGCGTAGTGTGAGCTACATCTCACTCCTTTGCCTACGCTCAACCTCATCTCCACTACGAGACAGCTATCCTGCCAACCTCCACTCACGTTTTCTTCTTCACCAGCATAGCTCACTAAATAGCTTTTAGGGATGGCAGGTGTTGCTTCTAGTCAGTAACAACGTCTGGGGAAACAATACAACAATGTGAGGAGATGCTCATTTCAGGTTTGTAGAGAATACTGGGCCTTTATTAGTGTGTGTGGTGTGTGTGTGTGTGTGTGTTGTTGTGTGTGTGTGTGTGTGTGTGTGTACTCACCTAGTTTTGGTTGCAGGGGTCGATTCACAGCTTCTGGCCCCGAACCTATTTCTGTGCGTGTGTGTGCATTATTATATCTACTGTTGAAGCTCTGTATTCAGTTTGCCTCCACCAGTGCCTCTTCCCAGTCACTCCCTAAGGCTCACTTGATTCTACAACTTCCATCAGTGACCCACTGATCCAAGTCCTCTTAATTCACTGCCCTTATTTGCCCTATCATTTCCCCCAAAGATTTTTTATGTCGTAATCATGTCTGCTCTTGCCCTTCTGTTCTCCTAGGTTTTCAAGTTTAGTGTCTTTACCCATCTTCTCATATTGCATTCATCTCATTTCCTGCACTAATTTGGTTGAAAACCTTTCACTTTTCGTGATTATTCAGTTAACCTGCGACTCTTGCGATATTCCAGGCTGTGTGCTCACCCCTTGCTCACGTAGTGAGGTCTGCACGTAATTAACTTGCATTTACTGGGGTTGAACTCAAGCGACCACATATCTGACTACTCTTGCAATTTGTCCATATTCCATTGCAGTCTTTCCTTGTCCTCGTAAGGTTTTAATCTTTTCATCAGTTTTACTTAATCAGCAAAGAGGAATCTATTCGAATCAATCCCATCTGGAATGTCGTTTACATTAACTAGAAATTGTACTGGTATTAATACCGATCCATGTGGAACCCAATTTGTTACTCTTCCCCATTCTAATGTATTTTTCTGACAGTCAATATTTACTTCTGTTCCCTAAGATATTTTTTGATCTGCCATATTACATTCCATGTTACTCCCTCCTGCATATCAAGTTTTTGCCGCAACCTTCTGTAGGGTACAGTATCAAATGCCTTTTTACAATCTATAAAAATGCAGTCCAACCAACCCTCTCCTTCTCTTTTTCATATTGCTCATCTTTTACTTTGTCCTAGACCTCCAACAAGATTTTTCCATCCTTAATCCTAAGGAAACCACTTCTCTCCAAGTGCTCTGCTGCTCTATCCCTGATAAGGTTATCTGTTATCTTGCAAAGTATGTATGTCAGAGAAAGTGATCTATAGTTTAACGCCTCCTGTCCGTCTCCTTTCTTTGCTGCCTTACAGATCTTAGTCAACTGTCCCATATCCATTGAATTCTTGTAAATCTTAGCAATAGGTTTAGACAACGCTTGTGCACTCTCTCTTGCATTATCCATAGTGACACCTTCTCAGGTCACATTGCCTTTGATGTATCTAGAGGTCCATTAAAAGTGTCTTTACCCCAGCTCCTGTTGCGCGGATCACATCCAGTAATTTTTGGTTCCCCCTGTTCCTTAGTCTCTATGATATCACCTCAGCTTAGATTGAGACCTCTTCAAATCGTTTAATAAACACTTCTCACATTTCCTTTTCATTATTCTTCAGCTCTTCTTTCCTCACTCAAATTTCCTGTTTCTATACTGTCGTCATTCTTCTGATGGGCCTGTGAAGCAGTTTTGGTTCATATTTGGTGTTTGTTGCAATATCATTCTCAAATTGTTGCTTAGCCTCTCTTTTCACACTTATTCATTTCTGGCCAGCTTGCTATTTTTTCTGTTCTCGTTTGTCCTTTTTTTCTATATTTCTTTCCAAGCTTTTACATTTACATTTTGCCTTCCTGCATCTCTGGTTGAACCAACGGCTATTTTAGTCTTTGTTGTATCTTCTTAGCCTGAGGTGTTTCTCTTCCTTGCCGACATTTTCCAGCTAGGTATTCCATCTTTCCTTGTAATTCACTGTCGCAGTCCACCACATCCAGGAAGTCTCTCAGCCCCTCAACATTCCCGCTTAAGTCTGGCTTCTCACGCCTTCCATCTACCGTATTTCACTCTACCTTTAGTTCCATTTGCTGCTTAAAGTTCAGGATAGTATGAGTGCTACCAATCTACGGGCTCTCATATTGTTTTTCCTGTGTCGAGTCTTGTTGATTCATCATCGCCTCTCTGCTTTCTCATGCCCTTAATATCCTGGCTTTATAAAAGTTTTCTCTAATCACCTGCATCATCATGGCGTCTACACAACCGTTCCGCATCTGGATCCAAATTGGTGTCCAAATTCTCTATGGCTGAAACTTTCCATTATGACTAGCTTTGCTTTAGCTCTGAATATACTCCTGGCTGTTTCTGCTAAGATGCCGACCATTGGCCTAGGTAGTCCTCTTATTCTTGCCTTGGTTCCCTATTATTAGGTGGTGTGTTGTATATCCCTCCATCTATTATTAGGTGGTGTGTTGTATATCCCTCCATCTATTACTTTAAGTCCACTTACCATAACCTAGCATACTATGAATTCATTTTCCCATAGTCTATTTATTCCTCTCGTCTCTCCAAAACTTCATTGATTTCTAATTAATGAAGCTACTTCTCCAGTAGTTGGCAATATCTCGCTATGATTAATTTCACTATAATTCATTATTCCCCCCCGAGGGGGGTCTCGCCTCCCCCTCAAAAAAAAACTGGAACATTTTCATTTTTTTTTCGAAATTTGAGCGTTTGGTGCAGCTTCTTCCCCGATCACGCTATGGCGCTGACCCTATCATCACCAATCATGCTATGGCGCGGATCCTATCATCACCGATCACGCTATGGCGCGGACCCTATCATCACCGATCATGCTATGGTGCAAACTCCATTTCGTCAGATTAAATTTTCCCTTATAGAATGTTATTGTTGTGTTATTCATGAATACATTATATTCATAAGATGGGTATACCTCCTGTCCATCAGTTTGACACAGTTATACCAGCTGTATGCCTGCATGCTACTGAGTCAGAAGGATGCATACTTTTTGCAATTACTTTTTTTGCGCAAGAGGTCGGTTGTAAGTCTGTTACTGTAGATGGTGGTTGCAGGGCGTTCCATGGAGATTGGCTGCTACCTGGTGTTGATCAGCTGAGCTGTTACGAGGGTAGTTGCAAGGTGTAGTCTGTTTGAAGTAAGTCTCCCAAGAATGGGGTGCATTTACCCTTTTTGTTGAACATAGAATGGTTCTGGTGGTATCCAATTTCTATATCTTCGGGGAAGTCAGTCAACATCATTGGTCTTGGGAAGTTCTTGTGAATGAAGCATCAGACTCTTTGTTGGAGGGTCATCCTGTGAGTTCTGTGCGGAGGTGTGATGATGATGTAGTCGGTTGTGTTTGTTGGTTGGGGAGGGTTTTCTCTGCCTGGTATATAGAGTTTCTGCATGTCGTATAGTTGTCTCTTTTTTTAACTTATCTA